TCAGAGGTCGCTGGATCAGAGGCAGCTCAGGGCCAGGGTATCCCAGGGGGGTAGTGGGGCTGGTACTTCTGGGAGGGGCTTCCTTCCCCCTCAACCCCCACAGCCTCAGTGGTCTGCTTTGGTTGCCTGAGATGGCGTCGGGGTCCTCATCCCACCTTTGAGCCCTTGCTGTGCACCAGACTTTAAGACATGAGCCTTCAGTCTTGAAAGCTGAGGAACCCGGGGCTTCCCTGGGTTAGTGCTCTTTATACCAGCACTATCAGGAATGACTGGGTAACCTGCTAATTATGTATGTAATCAGTGTTCATCCCGGTCACATCACCAACCACTGGCACCACACATCCCTTGCCCCACGCTGCTCCCGGCACCCTAGCCTGGGGCTGCAGAAGCAGTCTGTCCTGGAATCCCCGCCCCCATCCCAACTGCTAAACCCCTCTCCACGAACAGCCTGTCCTCCCCTCAAGCCACTCCTGCAGGGAGTGAGATTCAGGTGGCCCAGACCAGCAGTGCCCATCTCCTCTCGGCTGCAGACCCTTTACCTCCAAGGAAGAATGACACCTGTCCTGCTGCAGGTCCCTCCTGCTCCTGGCTTCTCGCTGTCAGAGGGGTCCCAGCTGCCGCTGGGGAGACAAGAGCCATGCAGGCCTTTCTCATTTTCTAGCCAAAGTGTTGGCTCTGGGCCGACGCTGCTTGGTACCCTCCAATAGGCGGTACCCACTCTGGCTCGGTCACCAGCGTGAGGGCAGGGCCTCTCCCCTGAAGCTGCCTGTCGTGGGTGCGCCCAGGTCTTTCCCTGCCAGCCCTCAAGGCCGTCCCTCCTGCCCTGGCGCTCTCTCTCCTCCGCACACCCATCTTACCTGGGAACTCTGAGCAGCAGAAGCCACCATTCTCCCTCCTCTCTTGTCAGGTTCATTCTCACTTCACCCCCTCATAAGTCTCAACCTGTGCCGTCCACTCCGGCGGCCACTGGCCACATGTGCCTCCTGAGCACTTGAAATGCAGCTAGTCCCAACGGAGATGTGTTCTAAGGGATACAAAACGAACACAGAACATCTTATTAATATATACAACAATAACATCTTATTAATATTTTTCCTATCAATGACATGTTCAAATGATAGTACTTTAGATGTACTGGATTAAATATAACTTATTACTAACATCAATTTTACACGTCTTTTATGCTATATGACTGCTAGAACATTTTAAATCAGAGGACGAGAAGGTTCTGGCCATCTTCTTAGTGTCTGCAGCTGGGTCGCAGGGACGAGGGCAGGTGGTTGGGGGAAGGTGTGAAAGGATCCTGCGCTTTACCTTGCTGCTGATTCTCCCTTGGAGTATCTATTCTTGAACCCAGGCTACCCAATTCACACTCTTTCTGTGGCAAACCTCTCTTGGGTCCATTTGAGACAATCACATTCCCCCCTCCCTCTCACAGAGGTGTAAATGATGGATAGCAGAGACTTTTCCCTTGTAGGAAATATAGCAGAGTCCTGGGTCTGGCTGACTCCAAGCTCTTCCCAGACTAGCCAAGCAGCCCGTGCTGATCTCTCTCTCTAGTTCAAGGTTTCATGCAGACAGAGCATCCTGCACTCAGTGGACAGGGGAAAAAACAAAACTGCACCCCAGCATTCTGGAGGTCTGTCCCCATCTTCTAATGAGCACATCTTTGCTTATTATGGGACACTCTTGGACGACAGGGAAGACAGAAATGATTCGATCCCCTAGCTAGCTCTACTGATGGCCAGGCCAGTAGGGGATGAGATGAAGTACTGAGTTCCTATGGACCCTCATAGAGATCCAAGGGGCAAGGATGTTGAGGGCATGGACCTGCAGAGAGAAAAGCTGAGGCCAGGGAACATGGGCAACCATGGTCCAATGTCCAGCCTCTAGGACAAGCCTGGCAGCTGGGAGCAGCTGCATCAACCAGAAGGGAGGCTGGCTGGCCAGGGGGAAGGAGAGTGACAGAGAAGTTGAGCCGTTAGGGCGAAAGCCTTGAAGGCCATTCTCAGAAGTCTGGACCTTATCCGCAAGGCAACTGGGGGTTTCTGAGCAAAGCACTGGCCTGCACAGAACTGTGTGCACGCTGGGGCTCTGTTCCTCCTAAAGGGGTGAACCTGGAGGGGCTGAGGACAGACGAGGCCTGTCAGTGACTCACCTGGATGCCCAGCAGATGTGGTTTATCAAGGATAATGGCGAAGCCAGGCTTACCCAGCATTTGGTGAGCCCTCTGTGGGAAGTTCATGACCTTATTTAATCCTTATAGCTATGCAGGGAGGTGGCACAGAGCAGCTGAGGACTGTTGGCTTTCTTGAAAGAATGAATGAACGAACGAATGAATGAATGGAAGTTATTTGATAACTATAACCCCTAGTCCTTACAATTATGTATTGGCTAAATTGCACTGGTTAATCCAGTTAATGGACTGGATTCTGAACTGAGGCTCCCCTTTGGATGTGCACTGAGCCTAGTTGGATACAAATTCATGGAGCTCCTGCAGTGAGCATGGGATGCTAAGAAGAAGAGGGAACACAGCGGGTGGGGTGGCGGGGGCAGGAGACAGGAGACAGGGCCCCAGTCCTGCAGAGAGAGGCCTGGCCCAGCAGCCTCAAGTCTATCCCTGTAAGCGCCCCTCCACACCTCTCCTGGATCCCCCCACAGCAAGCCCTCTCCAGCTGGCTCCAGCTTCCCTCCCGGTCCTGGAATTAATAAAGACTCTGAGCAGACTGCGGTTTGTAAGTCTGAAAGCCGGTTCCTGCCCACGTCATTGCCCTGAAAAGAGTGGGGCCCAGCTCTTCACCAGCACCCCGTCCTTCCCCCTCCTGAGAAGGGGCAAGCATACAGAGGCACCCACTGATCTCTCCACCCGTGGGCACATCCCGGCACTGAGCCTCAGGCCCTGACCCTCCCCAAGAACTCATAATCTCCATCAGCTACCCCCAAATAACACACCCTGGAAGTAAGAGCTGCACGTTTGCTGTGCAAACACAGCTGCAAGACAATTCTGCTGGCACACCCACCCCTTCCAAACTCCTGGAGGGCCACCACCTGAGAGCAGGAAGAGTAGGGATGGCCCAGGGTCCCGAGGTGGCCCGCAGACAGCCAGCCCAATGGTTTCTCTACAGACTGGAGTGGAACTTGCAGAGCCTGTGGTGGTAACCGTGGCATTATTGCCAGGACTAGGATCAGGTGAGCACGGAGCACTTGGGATCCAGCAGGCACAGACAGAACTATAGGACCACATTCCATTCATCTTTGCCATAGCCCTCCTAGGTGGCCATATTAACAACCACTTGACCTGTGAGGAAGCTGAAGCTCTGTGAAGAGGTGAGCCATCCACTGGGAAGTGCTAGAGGCAAATTTGAGGCCTAGGTCCCCCAGGAGCCCAGTGCCTGCTTCTGCCATCTCCGCTCTCGGCCACCCCTGGTGCCCTGCAGACTGCCGGGTGCTCCTGGCTGGAGGGGGGTCGTTCACCTCCTTCCCTGAAACCTGTGGTTGTGTCTGCCCCTCGCTCTCCACCTGGGCGAGGGAAGGTGGGAGAAGCTCTCAGACTTTGTGGCCTTGACTTTTCCCCTCCAGGCTGTAATGAGGGCAAGTACCAGTGCCCCTCTCCTACCTTCTGGCTCTCAAATCTCCTCTCATCTTCCCACTACTCCTGTCCCCCAATCCCTAAGGTCCTCATTCTGCCCAGTTAGGCAGGAACAGTCCCAGTTCTTCTGGAAATGCTGGTCCCAGCTGTTTCAGCGCAGGGTCGCCCCCTCCTGGCCACCAGAGGAATGTCAGTCCTGGATGTTCTGGGGCAGGGAAAGAACCAGCAATCTGGAAGCTCCTGTGTCTGGTCTGGGTGCCCCAGTGCTTAGTGTTGGGACAAGTGGGGGACAAGTGATAAATGGGGGCTGGGCCACCTACCAGTCTTGGAGGGCTCCCTACACCCCTGTGCACACACAGGGCACCTCGGGGGTCCAGACTGACCTTTGCCAGACACTTGGACCTGCACTAGACCATGTGTGGGACTGTGATCTTGATCCATGTAAATGGGACCCCTGTGGTGTGCCAGGATCTCCCACATGCCCCCCCCAGACGCCCCAAGAAACAACACCAACAGGGTCTTAACTCCCGGGCCATTCCCCCGGTGCAGCCCCTCAGCCTCTGCAGACATGGATCAAAGACCTGCCAACCCCTCCCCCTCCCTCCATCCCCCAGCTTCAGGCAGGAGGCTGAGACCTTAGCCCCTGCAGAATGGAGCTGTGTAGTATGTCAGGGTCCCCCTCCCAGCTCTCAGGTGTCTCGGGGGACAACAATGACATGACTTTACCTTCCAGGCCATTCTGCCTGTAGACACTGGGCCCGGCCCCAGCCCCCAGCCCAGCCCCAAACCCCACTTCCCCAGATTTAAGCAGGGCCTGTCTGTGGCCAGGTCTGGGGGAGTTGGGGAAGTCTGGAGGGCCAGGGTGGGGGCAGAGGCGCGGGACAGCTGGCCTGTGTCCCCACACTGGGCCCGGGGCCCAGCCGGAGGGGCGGGGGCCTGGCCACTCAGGACTTGGCTAGGACTGGATTTTTGGCCGGGCTGCAGGGCCCTCCCTCCTGCTTCCTCTCCCGAGGGCTGTCCTGGCAGAGGCCCCCCTCACACTTTCTGGCGGGAACAGGGCCAGCAGTGAGAGAACAGCCACAGAGGGAAAGCGGGAGAGAGATGGGGAAAACTGTGTGTGTGTGTGTGTGTGTGTGTGTGTGTGTACGCGCACGCGTGAGCGACTATGTGTTCTAAGGGAAAAAAAAGTCCACAGTCCAGTCCACTCAGACCCAGCCTGGGAGGATTGCGAGGCGGCCTTTCGTAATTGCCCCCCCTCCTCCCCGCGGCCCCCTCCCCCAGGCCTCCCCCTTCTCAGGCCCTCCTGCCCGCCCTCTCTCCCTCCCTTCTTCCCTCGCAGCCGAGGAGGCAGCAATTACGCTTTGGGGATAAAACGAGGCGCGGAGAGCAGGCTGGGGCATTTCTCCCTGAGATGGCGGGTCCGACAGCTGCAGCCCTGTGGCCTGGAGTCCTCCTGCTCCTGCTGTCCATCATCCACCCCTCGCAGCCTGGAGGTAGGCCTCCCCCTGTCCCTGGAGCCGCCGCAGCCCTCCATCCTCCCGGCCAGGTGTCTGGGCTCATCGGTGAGAGGGTGCCTGCCCTTCATCCCCAGCATCCTCCCAGGGTTCCCCCGCAGGAGCCCGGCAGGCACGGGGTCCCTGGAGCTGCCCTTCCCCGGACCCAGCCCCTGCTGAGGGGAACCTGTCCCATGGGTACCCCACGGTTTGGGGTGGTCCCCAGAGGGTCCAGGTGCTGCTGCCCTGGGTGGATGGAGGGCCCCCTGCTCCGTCCCTGGTGCTCTCCCAGGGGGTGTTGGACGCATGCTGGGGAAGGACCGTTCCCGCTGGGTCTGCAGGCACCTGCAGTTTGCACACCTGTGGACCCAGCCCAGGGGCACACGTGCCCTGCAGGTAGGGGACCGGAACAAGAGAGTGAACTGTGTGACTTCCTCGGGTTCCTTGTCCCCGGGGAAGTCAGGAGCCCCTCTGCGGGAGGTCAGGGTGAGTTGACCGTGGGGTTGTGGTCGGAAAGCTGCTACTGTGGTCTGTCCCTGGGTGAGAAGGACTGGGACTTCTGAGTGTGTGTGTGAAGTATGTGTGTGTGTGCGCACACATACACACACACACACACACACACACACGTGCGTACAATGCATACATGAATGAGTGTGTTGCATGCTATTGCACAGGTGGGCATGGGTGTGTATTTCAAAGATGTCATCAAATAGTGGAGAAGGTGTCTGGGATAAATGTCCGTTCACAAGTTCATCCCTGGACAGGTGTGTGTGTGTGTGTGTGTGTGTGTGTGTGTGTGTGTGTTGTGGGGGGAGGAGGTTGTAGGGTATGTGAAAGTGCCTGTTGGCATATGCAAAAGTCTGCCACCTGACAGGCTTATACACATGGGAGATCTGGTATCCAGGTGTGCATGTGGATGTGCGTGTGTGTGTGTGCGTGTGTGTGTGTGTGTGTGACAAAAGGGAGGACAGGGAAGCTGGGTAAAGTCTCCATCTCCTGGCAGAGGGAGTGTGGCCATGGCAGAGGCTGGAGCAGATCTCAGGGCAGCCCTGGACCATCCAGGGTGTGTCCTGCTCAGGTCCCAAGGGCAGCCCTGTGGGGCGGCTACACCCCCTGGGGACCCTGGGAGTGACCCGCCGCGGTGCTCCCGGCCCTGGGAAAAGGGAAGTGAAGGTTCACAAGGCATTTGGTGGGGTGTGCCGGATGGGGTAAGGTTCTCTTGCCATGAGAACCAGACCTGCAGTGGGGACCAGCACGGGGGTGCACAGGGCGGAGCAGGGCTGGGCAGGGGCTGGTGTGGGGGAGCGGGCAGGAGCGGCAGCTGTTTCTGTGAGATTGACTTTCTGGACCAGCGCTGCTGGGAACAGGAGCTTCCTGCACAGAGGTCACCGGCCCCGGACCTGAGCGGGGCCGTGGGACGTGCGCGCCATCAGGTGGAGCCCGGCGGGGGGAGCGAGGCGGCCCGGAGGACCTGCCACCCCGCTGCCTGAGAGCAGCCGCTCTGGACCCGCCTGGGCCTCCCCTCTCCAAGGTGTGGCCCCAAACACGTACCTGCCTTCCCGCCGAGAGCGAGGCCGCTAATCCCCACAGGAGCACTTAACCCTGAGCGTGAAGAATCGCTGTCTTCGCTTTGCGAATGGGTTCAGACAGGCTGAGGCATTCCCGGGGCTTTAGTACCTGCCAGCTCTCTGCCCTGGGCCGAAGGATGAGGGGGCGGGGGCCGGGGTCAGGCAGCACGTGGGGAAGATCAGGCCTGGGACTGAGCCCTCCAGGGTGGGCACACCCTAGGGCAGCGGGCACCTTCTGCTTGTGCCCTCAGTGGCACTGCGGAATGCTCAGCTGGCCGTGTTCTTTCCTTGCAGACATAAATCACCGCTCTGTCCCAGGTGGCGGAGCACTGGGTCCAAATAAGGGCTGTGCAAATTGGTGAGGTATTTAGGGGCTTTGCCCAGAGCCTACCAAAATCTAGAGAGGTCAAGCAATAGGGAGGCTGAAGACACACACGCGTGCGCACACATTGGACTCTGGCTACGCTGGGGGAGCCCAGCTTCCCCCACCCCAAGACAGTGTCACCCCACGAGTTCCCCAGATCCAAAGGACCACGTTGTCAGTGGAGGCAGGAAGGAGGGGCTCCCCAGGATGACTGTGTAATGGAAAGGGTTGTCTAGACCCAGTTAGGATGGGTCCAAAGTAGCTTTGAGGTCCAGCTGTCTCAGACCCCCAAGAGAGAGAAGGGGAAGAAATCCAGCATCTCCCCATCCCCCAGAAATATTATCACACCCCCCACCACCCCCGATTGCAGGACTGGGACAATTTGGAAAAGGGGCTTTCTTTTATTATTTTTTCTTTCTTTCTTTCTTTTTTTTTTTTTTTTTTTTTGCGAGTGAGGTGGTGGGGGAAGGAGAGTGTTCAACCCCTAGCCACAAATTGGAGTTCCCCGGGGAGCTAGGAACAATTCTGATGTGGAGGTCCCACCCAAGAATTCCTGCCTCATTTGGCCTGTGGAGGGACCCTGACACGGAGGTTTTGTCACCGGTGACTTCAGTGAGCCTCCAGGGCCCAGGACCTCTGGCTTAGGGGTTAATCCTGCTCTCCGTGTCCACTAAGGCCAAGGCAGGAGGGCAGGCGTGCCCAGTGCGGGATCCCGTCACCCACTGGAGGGCAGGTGGTTTGTGAAAAGCCCTTGGCAGCCCTTCTCCATGCCAACAACAAACAGCTCCGTGTGGTCTTAGCTGCTCCCCAGGCGGGCCCTCTGGACCTGGGCTTGGCAAAGCCCCTCCCGAGGACCGCTGGCTCACTGCTGCTCCTAAACAACCTTCCCCCAGATCTTTGAACTTGGAGCCCAAGGCCCTGCCTGTGACTGGGTTCAGCTATAGGTCTCGGGCCAGGCACTTCATGTCACTGGCTCTTGGTTTCCCTGGCTGGAAAATGGGCAGAAACATCCCGGCCCCACTATCTCCTAGGCTGGTGGGAGGCTCCGGCAATGAGACAACTGCCAAGAATGTATCAAGTAAGAGGGCTGTGGAAATGTGAACTTTTAAGAGGATCTATCTACTTATTCAGAATTTGCCAACTTGAGCTGATCAACCCTAATAAATTAGTGCACATTGATAAGCTTAAATTTCCCTCTCGCTACTCACACCATGGTTTGTCTAGTGGGGAGTAGAGTTCAATGGTGGAGAAAGCAGACAGGACTAAGGCTGGGGTGCCTGGAGGAGTCGCAGGAAACCGGGGAGGGCTTCCCAGCGGAAGTGACATTTGAGTTAGACCTTTAAAGAAAGGTCGATATTTGAGGAGCTATCCTTGGATGACAGATGAGCCTCGGTCTATAGGGCCGGGGGAGGCAGAATTAGAGAGATAGATGGTTAGTCTAAATTGATCAGAGGGAGATCTCTCTGCAGGAAGAGCTGACAGCATCAGAGGTGGTGGTTTTCCTGTCACTGGAGGCGTGCAAGCAGGAGCACCGGGGGATGCTTGCAGAAGGAACTTCAGCCCAGCCCCGAAGACTGTTATGATCCCTGAGAGTCGAGGATCATGACCCTACAATGCAGGAGACGAGTTCACCCTGGGCTAGCCGGTTCTAACCCACATAAAACATGACAAGCGTGCTGCTGGCCAGCTACTCTGGGCCAGCTATGCAGTGAGAATGGAAGGCTGGGAGAAGGCAGGAGGGAGGATCTGAGCTCAGTCTTGGTGGAAGGGTAGGACTTGGAGAGAGGAGAAGGCATTTCTGGCAGGAGGGACTGGCCGGGCCAAGGAGCGAAGATGACGGACTGAAGCATGAGAGGTGAGCGGTGACTGCCGCCTTTTCCAAGTCCCTCCGGTCTTATCATGTTCTCCCCACTCCTGCACTTGGAGAGAGAAGGCAGGCCAGGGCACCCTTTACGCCCACTGAGTGTCCTCCGTTTCCTCAGTGCACACGGGGGATCAAAATCCGCAGCTCCTGGTTCAGGCACGGAGTTTGGCACAGGCTGCTGGGATTTGAATCACGGGGGTGGGGATGGGGAAGAGGAGATGGGTAGGCGCTGGGGAGAGAGGAAGCAGAGGAGGAGCTGGCAGGCCCGGGAGGGGCTTGGTCACCAGCGGGTGTGGGAGAGCAGAACCCCAAGAGAGGAAGGAGGGGGTCAGCCAGGCCCAAGGTGGGAGACCCCAAGGTTGGTTGGGGATAGAACAGGATGAACCCAGACCCACTGGCAGCATCCTCGCCTGCCCCTTCCACCCCCATTCACACATCATTTACTGGACGCATCCTGTTTACCTGACCCCAGGCTGTGTGGTGTGCAGCATGGAGCGGAGGGGTCACCATCTTTTGTTTGAGCAATTACTGCGTGCCAGGTCCAGGGCAGGGCAGCTCAACAACTTTGCAAGGCAGCCGTTATCGGGCCCCACCTGGCTGAAGAGGAAACTGAGGCTCAGAGGGGTGAAGTGACTTGCCCAAGGTCACCCAGATGTGGCATAGCCAGGAGTGGAGGCAGATGGGTCCATCTTGAGCCCCTTGTTCCCTCCACCCCCGTCCCTGCTCCTGCCATCACTCAGGAGCTGGACAGGAGGGAGAGAGGCCGAGGCAGAGACAGGCCTGGGCTGCACCGGGGCGGGCACATAAGAAACAGGGCTCAGAGCTGGGGACCAGAGCCAGGGAAGGCATCAAAGGCTCAAGAAGACCATGTGTGCGCTTGGCAACACATGACAGGGCCGGAGAGCTCGTTCCCAGCCGGCCCACCCTCCTTAGGCCACCACTTAGAGCCCCCGAGGCTTTGACCAGATTGCTTGCACGCTCTAGGCCTGGATCACAGTTCCTGGGGGACGGCAGGCCCTAGGGGAAGGAGGGGGGGTGGCGCCAGGACTTTGGCACAGAGTGGCTGTGACAGCTTGGCATCCCTTACCCTGCCGGGCTGTGGCTGAGGCTGATAGGGCCCTGGGGCCAACAGGCCCAGCTGTGCAGCATCACCAGGCCACAGGGGCCAGATGTCTGTCCACGAGGCCTCTGGTCACCCTGCAGAACTGACCGGCACTGTCCCCCAGCCCTGCTCCTTTCAGTGAGGTGATGCTGGGGCTGGGGCATTGGCAAGGAGACTTATCGGGGTTGGGGCCATTCTGTGGTGGCGGAGAGAGGGCCTGGCCTGCACCAGGATCCTCTGTTGCCATGACCAGGCACGGGTCTGGGCCCAGCCCCACAGCGTTCCCCAGTGAGCACTTCCCTAGGCGGTGGGGACTGAACTCGTGATCTCGGCTGGGCAGACAGCCCCTGGCCTGGCCCGTGAACCCGCTTTTCCTTAGGAAACTATTCACTTTGCTCATTCATGGTGTCCCCCTCCGGGGCCCGGCGCCTCCCCAGACAGGCCTGTGTCAGACAGCCAGAGCCCCACCCATCCCCTGTTGCCCAGCGGCTGAGGACGCTGACCTCACGCCGTCCTATCAGTGTGGGAATGGCTGCGCTTTTACTGGCAGGGGCCGCACTTTCTTACCGCTCGCGAACAGCCCCGCCACAGCCCTGCTGGCCCCGGCCCACGCTGCTCTAGGGCTGGAGACAGTTGGCCGTTCGTCGACAGGCGCTCAGGCCCAGCCTCATGCCAGGCCCTCTCCGGGGAGAGGAGTTGCCTGAGTTTGAACCCAGGCTCCACCATCTCTTTCCAGCTGTGCGACCCCAGGCACGTCCCTCCACTTCTTAAGAGCCTGATTTCACATCTGTTAAGATGAAAATAATAACCCCAGCCCTTCCCACCTCGCAGGGCCACTTTGCAGAGCATCAATGGAAAAGAAAAAAAAAAAAATGCTCCGAAAACAAAAATTGCTTTGTGGATTTTCATCATCATCATCACCACCATCACGTGGCTATCATGTTTTTATTAGTTCTGGCTAATAGAGGACTCTGCCTACTTCCTTCCAGGGGTCCCAGGAGCTATTCCTGGAGGAGTTCCCGGAGGACTGCCTGGAGGAGGCTATTTCCCAGGTAACGTACATGGAGAGGAAGAGAAAGCCTTCCACACCCGGGAGAGGAAGCCTGTGAGAGATGCACATTTTGGTGTTGCAGAAGGGAGGAGCATTGCCATGCTCCAATCACCACCGAAGACCCACCAGGCACTGCTACTTTACAAAAGCAGTTTGCGTGACACCATTTTACAACTCTGAAGGGCGTAAATCTTCTGAGAGGTGAAACAGTGCTTTTGAGGCTCTAGGAAAGTGAGTGCTTCCACGCACGCCTGCCATGCACAGCCTTCCAACCGTTCACCCCACGTTGGAAATCCATGTAGATGGGAGAATTGCAAAGAAGAGGAAAAGGATGGTCTGCAATGAGGTTCATAGGTGTGGTGTTTGCAAAACTGCAAAACCAGAAACCCACCCGGCTAGAGGGTGTGATTAAGTAAACTCTGAAACACTACCCAGTTGCTGAAAAGTATGAATGTGTGATCTGTTGTGCAATGTGGTGGAGTGTTTTTCAAGTAAAAACAATATAAAAGCAATGGCCATCACCAGAAGAAAATGGGGGAAATGTTGGAGCAATGCCATTTAGAAAAAAGCATGATGTTTTCAAGTAGATTGAAAGAACAAAGTAATATTTTCAATACTTAAAAGGTATCTAAGTGCTCAGAACTGACATGGAAGTGAGGGAGGCTACCAGCACACGCTCAGGCACAAACTAGCTCGGGGCTTTTGGCCCTCGGAGACAAATGAGGAAACTGAGGTTCACAGAAGTTAAGGCTTGCCTGAGGTCATGTAGAGAGGCAGGGATGGATTTGACCATGGGTTGAAGGGTGGCTTTCTGGCAGGGGCACTGATCTGACAAGGGCACTGATGTTTCTCTTTCTTCTTCTCCCCTCCCCCCACCCAGGGGCTGGTCTCGGAGGCCTGGGAGGAGGAGGTGAGTGCAGAAACCACATCTGTTTCCTCACTGATGGGGTCTAGGTGTCACTCCAGTCTACACTGGTCCTCAAACCTCAGAACCCCAGAAAGTCCAAGCATCAAGGGTCCTTTGTTTTATAGACCCCGTGCCTCTTGGGGAGAGACTTGTCTGAGAACTGGAACTCGCTGGCATCCCAAGCCCCTCCCCCAGGCTTTCTCCCTGATGGCCCCTGCCTTCTCCTCCACAACACTCCTAAAATGCTGGCTGAGAGCAAAAACCACAAATCAGGGATGGAGATGGGCTCCTAGACACTGGGCTCCCAGCAGCTCCTTGTCCGGAGGGAGGGCTGCCCCTGACCGCCCTTTTAGGGCTTGGAGAGTAAGACCCCCAGTGCTCTTGCTTTGCTCTGAGGGTATAAATAATAAGACAAGGGTGCTGGGGCTCCCCGTTCACTACCATCTCTTCCTTCTGCAGGGCTGGGACCTGGAGGCAAACCACCCAAGCCAGGTAAGACCTGAGGTCTCAGGGCACTGATAGTGAGCCAGGGGGCAGGGGAGGGGAGGCCCAGCTAGCAAGGGCAAGAGGCAGGAAGGAAGTGGTGGGCCGAACCAGTCTCCCAGTATGAGCAGGCTGGGGCCGGACCACAGGGCTCAGGGACAGGAAGCTGGCAGCAGCTTGTGCGAGGAGGGTCCAGCATCTATTCTATAAGTGCCTATGTGCTCAGCTGCCCTGTTCCTATGCACATGGCCTCAGAAACAGCCCTGGGGCTCAGGACACAGGTAGGGGCTGATGTTCCAGAGGCCACCATGCTGTGAGTGTCATTCTGGGACTCAGGCGCAGAGGGTAGGCTCCAGACTCCACCTGGATGGTCTCTTGACTCAGACCAAGCCCTCTCCAACCCCAGGCCAAGGCCCTCCATATCCCTGACCCTTGATGACAATCTGAGCCCCTGTCCTAGTGTCAGAGCTGGGCTGACTCCAGACCAAACCTGAAATTAAATCCCAAGGTTGGATTCTGACCCTGGCCCCAGAGGAGCCTCCTTCTTGATCCCAGGCCCCTTCTGGCTGCCCAGACCATGGAGTTTTCCAGGAAGGAGATGTGACTAGCTTGTCCTGGCCCTGCCGAATCGGACACCAGGGTCCACCACCGGTTCCAAAGAACACCCCCCCAGGAAGGAGGGAGGGCGTGTCCTTCCAGGAAGCACGGGTGGATAAGGAGCAGGTGGAGGAAATGGTGTCTCTGTCCAGATGTGTGACCCCACTGGCGTGAGATACTCCACATGTGGCCTTGGCACCCCCACCCCCTTGCTCTGTCTCCCTGGCTCTGCAGTCCGAGGCTCCGGGACAGCTTGGGTGTCCAGCGGCTCTTATGAAACCCGCCGCTGGATGATCCAATTGCAGATGAATCTGCAGGACCCACATCCCCCCTCCCTGCCAGCCCAGCCTGGTTGTGAAACACCAGGGGTGGGCCGGGCTGGGGAGAGGCAGAAGGGCAGGCTGCCAGGGCGAGGGCTTTCCTGGGATTTGGGGGTCAACAAAGCTGGAGCCCTGAGAATCCACTGCTTATCCTGCCGGAACCTGCGTCCTACCTCCGTGGAGGGACCTTCTCAGCAGGGTCTTTGATGGTAGAAAGAATGTGGAGAAGGACTGGATAAGCCAAGACGTGGCAATAGATCCATGCGTAGCCGAGAAGAACCGAATTGTGGAGGTTGTGACTGCAAATCTAGAGGGGGGGACTGGCTGATCTCATGGGGGACACGGGGCAGGCTGTGATTAAGTTCAGGAGGAAAGGCTGAGAAAACCGCATAGAGCTCCATAACGGGTGGTCACGAAAGTGAATCTTTTATTCATGATTCAGGTTAGGCTTCCGAAAGCACGCTCAGGGCAGGGTGAAGCAGTAAACACCCCCCCCCCCAGAAAAAAAAAAGTCAGGGTATCTCCTTCTGATGAAAACAGTCTGGATCCCACAACCTCCCCGAGGTCATCAGGACTCAGCTACCAAAGCCAGGTCAAAACCACAGTCCCCCTCCTTCCCTCGGGCAGTTCCTCGCTCCCATCCGGGCCAGGGGGATGTCCGGGCCTGCCCGGGGCAAGATGGAACAGGGCATGGGCAGTGTGTGTCATGCTTAGGAACAATTAATCCCTTGGCATGTAGAGGGTGGGTGGCCTGGCAGCTGCTCCATGTGGGCCTCGGCACGCCGGCCCTGCCCGGGCTCTCCGCGGGGGACCAGGCAGCTGGGAGCCAGCAACACCCACACCCTGAGCACCAGCTGGAGGCCAACCACCCACACGAGAGGACTGGAAGGGACGGGTCACACCCACTGGACACCCTGGCATGCTGCACACATGAGGTGCTTTCTGCTCGTGATCTTACTGGTCCCAGGAAGATCAGGGATACAGTGACCATTTCTAAGTAGGGAAACTGAGTCTCGGAAAGGCGAAGAGACTTGCTCCTACACGCAAGGAGTCGGCATGCGTAGCAGCATTTGAATCCAGGGCTCTCTGATTCCAGGAAGAGAGGGAGGTTGGACTGGCCAGGGCCCTGGGCTCCCTGCTGTGTGTGGCCAACATCTCACCCCTCCTTCCCTCCTTTCTAGGGGCTGGTGGACTCCTTGGGGGATTTGGACCAGGTGAGTCCAAAGGGAGGAGGGCAAACGGGAGGGGGTTGGTCATGGTGGAGGGTGGCCTTGGGACCAGGCACCTCGGGAGGAGGGTGGGGAAGGACAGATGGCGCCAGAGGGGTGCCTGCTCCCACCCCCACCTGTCCCAGCCTCTTCTCACTTCCTGTTCAGTTCCCATCTTCTCTTCCAGCCCCTCTGTGCTCAGGGAAGGTCCCAGCCCTGTGGGAGCTCAGGAAACAGGCCTGGCTTGAAAGAAGCCCCAGGCAGAGCTGGGGAGGGGCAGGGCCCACAGTGCTGGGAAGTAAACTCCCTGCCCCCAGGCCGGGACTGACCCACACCCCGGCGTGCCTGGAAGGAAGATTAGCCAGAGATCAAGACCCACTCACAGAGTAGGAAATAGTGGGGGGAAGGGAGACCACGCCCAGGGAAAGCCAGGTAGAAGCTCCAGGCTTGGCAGTTCTCCATGGTTGGGGTCAGTCCCCAGAGAGGGCTTCCCTGGGCTCAGGACCCTGGCAGCCAGGCCGCCAGACTGGTGCTCGAAGCAGAGATTCTCACATAATTGGAAACAAACCCAGCACGCTTGTGAACCTGATTGCCCATCAGTCCTGGCTGAAGCCGTGGAATGTCTCCTGGAGGGGCAGAAGGAGCGATTGGGCCCAGATGTGAGAAGGAGAGAGCCAGAGGGACCATTTGACTTCTCATAAACATTTTAGCATCCGTCTGAATTCGAGGAGGCTCCTGGACTGCAGGCAGGCTGGATGGACACATAGACAGATGCTGGGAGCTGGAGGGTCTCCAGATACAAGGGAGAGGGGATGGGCTGAACCGGGAGACACCTGCAAGGAAGCGGAAGAGAGGTCTGGGGTGGGGGCTAATGTGGGAGCCGGGCAGGGCCTGGCCTGGATCAGGTCTTGCTAACAGCTTCCACCCTCAGAGAAAGCCCTGCTGAGCCTCCCATTCACTGGCAAGCCTTCTAGGGGAAGCCAGGCCTGGCCTAGGTGCATTATGGGGGAAGGAGTGGTCAATGCAATTACATCTACATGGCCCATAGCAGCTGGTCACTCAATGGTAGCTGCTGTTTTATCAGCATCAGCCCCTGAGTACCGAAGGCTTGAGTCCAGCGTAGGGTCCTGAGTGGCTGCACACTGACCACAGCCCTGCCTGGTTCCTGCTTGCCCATCATGAGACCCTTCCCACCCAGGACCCAGGATGATGCCCACACACCAGTCTCTCCTCTCCTCACCGGCTCTGTCTCCTTCTCCCTGCAGGTGCCGGAGGTCTCGGCGGTGGCCCTGGGGCAGGTTAGTATTGACACGCAAGCAAGATGCCCGTTTGGGGCCAGAGCCACGCCCAGGGTATCTGCCTGGCATGTGGGCCAGGCCAGCCCTGGGCGCTGGTGTGAGGGTGATGCTGAGACCACTTGCCCTAAGCAGCTTCCCAGGACACAAGGAAGTAATCGCTGCATCCTGAGACCTAGTATAATGCAGGGGCCAGTGGAGCCCAGAGGAGTTGCTCAGCTCGGCAGGGTTTCAGGAAGGCTTCCTGGAGGAGGGGTTGTGGAAGTTTGATCCCAAGCGATCCTGCAGTTTTGTCAGGCTGGGTAGAACCATCTGGCACCTGTTGCTCTCCAACACTGATCCTGGCCCTGGGGCCACTGCTTGGCGTGGAAGTCCTGCAGAGAACAGGAGAGCCACCTCAATGTGCCTCCTGGGCGGGGCTGGGTGGGCTCAGGACCTCACCCTCTCCTCCCCTCTACAGGGCTCGGCGCTTTTCCTGGGGGCGCCTTCCCGGGGGCTCTGGGGCCTGGCGGAGCGGCTGGTGCGGCTGCAGCCTATAAAGCTGCTGCCAAGGCTGGTGAGTGTGACTGCCTGGGACGTGCCATCGACCCTCGCCTCCATGGGCTCTACACTCTGCAGAGAACATTTCCTGGGAGGCGGGTGGGATTCTCATCTCTAATCTCCTGGGGCTCAGGGAGGCAGCCAGTCTCCAAGCGAGGAGGTGGCACGATCAGATATCATCTCTGGGCTCTCCGCATGCACCCGGACCCGCCCACCTCCCACTGCGCCTGGCATGACTCCTCGCCTCTCCACTCCTGGCTCTGTAGGTGCTGGGCTCGGCGGTGTCGGCGGGCTCGGCGGTGTCGGTGGGCTCGGCGGCCTTGGTGGTGTTGGTGGACTTGGCGGTGTCGGTGGCTTAGGCGTGTCTACAGGTATGGGCGCTAGCCCTGAGTTGCCCAGGTAAAGGCTGAGGCTGGTGACACCGGCTCTGACACCGTCCTTTCCATGCCAGGTGCAGCGGTGCCCGGAGCGGGAGTCGGAGTCGGAGCCGGAGGGAAACCTGGGAAAGTGCCCGGTCAGTGTGGAGTCCCTGGGGCTGGACAACAGATTCAGGGAGGGGCTGAGGCCCTCACCTCTGCACTGGGTGGGGCCTGGCTGCAGCGGGGCAGGGAAGAGTGGCCGGCCCAAAGTGCGGGGCCCAGTTCAAAATGGGGAGAGGGACTCCAGCCCACATTCTGGGCCCTTCTTCCAGGATCTGGGGACAAAAAAGGAACTCAGGGCCAGGCCTGTGGCAGACATCCAGGGGACAGATGGGGACACTGAGGCTCGGCACGGAGAGTCAGGGCAGAGGGCCCTTGGTGGCCACAGCAGAGTCAGGGTGGCCAGAGGAGCCTGGACTCCCCATCTGGTGCTCATTCCTCGGCACCAAGCCCTTGAGGAAGTGACTTCAGGTTAAACAAAGGCCTGCCTGAGTCCACACAGCAGGGAAGGAGCATCTGGAAGCCGTTAGCCCAGAGGTGGGCCGGGCGGCCGTGTAAACAGGCTCCAGAAGACAAGATAAATCCCCGCACAGAAGGGTTTGCAGATGACTTCTGAAGCTCAGGGGAGGAAGGCTGTGGCCACAACCCATGTCCCTGGCTGTCCTTGCCAGGCGCTGGGGGGGGGGGGGCTGGCTTGTGAGCTTGGAGCGGTGGAGTGGGGGCCAGGGAGGGGCTGCTGGAGGCAGGGGCGCTGCTCATGGCTCCGCTGTCTTTTGGCCACAGGTGTGGGCCTGCCAGGTGTATACCCAGGAGGAGTGCTCCCAGGCACAGGTAAAACCACAGAGAAGAAGGGGACCCTCCTTCAGTATGGAGACCCTCTCCTGGCACTGACCTTGGGGGCCTCTCAACTCCCTGCAAGCGGAGGCCACCAGAGCATCAAAGCTCAGGCTAAGGGACACAGGGACCCTGTCCTCTTTCCCCAGGAAGGCCAGTCAGCTTCCCCTCATCCTACCAAGCTCTGGCCCCAGACCCTGATCCAGATCATCGCTACAGCCGGAAGTGGGCCCCTGAGGACACACCAAGTCCCTGGTGTAGCCAGCTGATTCCCAAAAGCCATGAGTCACCAGGGAGCCCGCCCAGAGCACATCCGCCCTGTAGGGGACCCTCAGAGCTGCCCTCTCACCCTCCTCTCCCTGCCAGGCCTGGCCACCCACCCAACATGTGACCGCTTGAATTCCCCTAAAAGCCCAGGCTTGGGCTGCTCTGGGAGATTTGCTGACAGTGTCCCTCCCTCCGTCCCAGGTGGCCCAGTCCCAGGGGAGACAGGAGAGGTGGGAGGGCCAGACACTGGCAAGTGCGGAGTCCCCGGCCACAGCAGAGGGCTGTGTGCTTGGTGGTGGGCACAGGCTTCCCACAGTGCTGGCTTGTGCTGTCTGCCTTCCCTGGTAAGGGTAGACAGGGTGGCTGGAACTTCATCCCAGCGCAGGGACAAGGCCAGCTGAGGCATAAGGTCATATAGCCAGGAAATGGCACCAAAAGTCAGGTCTTCCGAGTCTAACAAGGAAGAGAAGCCACCACCACATGAGTTATGACATCACGGATGGTCAGTGCAGAAGGAGGTCAACTTGGTGACCCAGGGGTGGTGTGGGAGCCAGGCTGGGCCTTCTGGGCCTGCCTTCCCCCCTCACGCCAGACCCCTTTGCTCTCACAGGAGCTCGGTTCCCAGGTGTGGGGGTGCTCCCTGGGGTTCCCACCGGAACAGGAGTCAAGGCCAAGACCCCAGGTATGTGACCCGTGGGCTGGGGACCCATGGTGGGAATCTGTATCTACCCTCAGGCCCCTGTGGAGGGGAGCAGGAGTGGGGCCGGGGAGCCTGGGCTCAGGGCCCTGTGTTCCAGCCTTGGTACTGGTGGCTGAGATGCACAGGACACCTCTCAGAAATCCCAAGTGTGGGTGAGGCAGCATCAACCTGGAAATCTGGGCAGAAATGGCCACTGCCCAGCCCTCTGTGCTGCCTGGCATCACCCATGGGTGCCTCGGAGCCCTGCACCTGAGGCGGACTACAGTGATGACTCCTTATCATTGCAGGTGGAGGGGGAGCTTTTGCTGGAATCCCAGGTGAGACAAGGCGCTAGTCCCCTGTGGGTGGGCAGGCCAGTAGGGAGACCAGCCAAGGAGAGGCACTCACGCTGGCAGGGACTGGGCATTCAGAATCCCATCAGGCCTGTCCAATGTCCATCATGCCCATTGCTTCAGGGGAGAGGAAGCCCTGGATGGAAGAGGGAGAGGGAGGCTCCAGACAAAGTGGTATCCATTACAGTTCTGCTTCCCCAGTCCAACCCCTCCTGTGTCGCAGCCCGCATGAGTCCAGAAAGCCCACCAGTCTGAGCCACATGCTGCAAGGGCTACAGGTCCCAACTGTGGCCCAGGCCCCAGGAAGCGGGAGAGTTCTGCAGCTTTCTGTGGGCAATGGCCCAGCATTGGAAGGGCTTAGCTGATCAGTGACAGCAAGCAGGAATGCCCTCTGGGCAGGATGGTTTGTGGATACAGTGGGGCTCATTCTATCTGAGCAGAAAGTGGAGAGTGAGGCTGGGGGCTCAGCAGGAGCTGCTGGCTCAAGTTGCTAGGCCCTGATTTTGTTCTCCTTGTTCTCACAGGAGTTGGACCCTTTGGGGGTCAGCAGCCTGGAGTCCCACTGGGGTACCCCATCAAGGCACCCAAGCTGCCAGGTAAGTCAGAAGGAGGATTCAAGAGGCACGTGTCACAGGGCCTCAACACTGAGGAGGCATCTTGTGGGGGCACATCTTTGGTCACTGGTGTCTCTTGTGGGGGGTGTCAAGAAACCTGTGTACTGAAACCCACTTCTGGTCACCAACAAGGAAAAGCATGGGGAAGCCATCCTGCTGGTGTTGGCCTCACTCACATGCACACCTGTACATACACACACGCACACACAGGCAGAGACCCACAGCCCTGATAGGAAACAATCGGTGCTGATGGTAAAAAACACTGTTCGTTGGAAAGACCCCTCAGACGTCACACAATGTTGGAGAAGGGAGTAAGGAAGCTACTCAGACTCTAGGGAGCTGGTGGGGTGCCCCCTCTCCCTCTTCCATCAGGGCCTCTGCTCTCCTGAGAGCAACCGTGGCTGCCATGACCCCGGGGAGGGTCTCAGGCCTCAGCCTCTGTGGGAATAGATCTGTCCACCAAGATAGTCAGAGCCCAGCAAGGCATGAGCTGTTCTGTGGCAGCACCTGAGCCTCCCCTCCCGTCTCCGCAGGTGGCTACGGACTGCCCTACAGTACGGGGAAACTGCCCTATGGTGAGTAAGGTTCTCCGAGACCATTGGTCTTCCGGGTCTTTCCAGATGCAGGGTCCTGGCAAGAGCTGGGAGAGCACCCTGCTGGGTGGGGGTGGACTTGGAAAGGAAATTCCCTAAGGAAGGAATGTGGAACTTGGGCTCAGACAGCTTGGTTCTCAAGCCTGGCCCTCACACTAGCGAGAACCCGCCTCTTCCCGAGCCTCAGTGTTTTAGTCTGAACAGTGGGAGTTACCATCCCCGACACATATGTGAATATGTTTTAACTCTGACTGGGGGTGACATGGTAGAGACTCTGAATGGGTTGGGCAGGGGGGAAGCTGCAGTGAGACCTGCACAGATGCCCATTGAGCCTCTCTGTTTACAGGTTATGGTCCTGGAGGAGCAGCAGGTGCCGGCGCCAAGACTGGGTACCCAACAGGGACAGGTAAGGGGCCAGCCACAGGGCACTGGTCACCCTGGCTCCAGGGCTCTGGGGCTGGCTATGATCTGTCCAGAAATCAGCCAGCCCACCCTGCACTCAGATCCCCATCTGAGTAGAAGAAGGATCCTGGGCGGGACCGCTCCACCAGCCTCTGATGGCTGTGATGCCCCCACCCACACCCACACGTGAACAGGTGGCTCTCCGAGGGCTAGAATGGAGGCCCCTGGAGATGCAGGGCCACATTTTTCAGTCTCTCCCCTTCCCCTCCCCCAGGGGTTGGTCCCCAGGCTGCAGCAGCAGCAGCTAAAGCAGCAAAGTATGGTGAGTACCTCCGAAGTCCCTAGCTGCTAGCTCCAGCCACCCAAGCTCTGCATCGCTGTTACCACCGAGAGCCTGCCTCACAGATAACTAACCAAGGCAGCACACCCGCCTTTGTCCAGCTTTTTCAACCCCACCTATTCCGCCTTCCTTCCATCCATTCATCTACTCTTCCCTCCATCCCTCTCTCCATCGTCCATCCATCCATCCATCCATCCCTTCATTCCTCCATCCATTCATTCCTCCCTCCTTCCATTCTTTCATCCATCCATCCACTCACCAGCTAATTACCCTTCACTCCCTCCCTCACTCCCACACTCCTTCTATCCATCCATTCACTCCCTCCCTCACTCCCACACTCCCTCTACCCATCCATTCTAGAGACCAGGCAGGGACAGGTAAGAGCTCTGCTGCAGGCTGGAGGCATTGCTGTGGGACCCGAGAAGAGGGAGAAATTATTTCCACTGGGGGAAGAACATCAGAAGGCTTCTCAGAGAAAATGACATTTGATCGAGGTCTTAAAACCTAGGTGGAGTTCGCCATGTGGTTAAAACAGGAAGACGGAGCCCGTGCAGAGGGAATGGGTACTATGGTGGTTAGAATAAGCATTTTAAAAATTTAACAGTTTTTATCGATTTAGTGTGTGCTATAAAAATGTTAACTGGCTCCTCAAGCTCATGTCCCCTTGGCTGGCAGATATGGCTTAGCCTTCCCTGTACCCATGCTGTGAGCAGAACGGACATCTGTCTCCCTGTCCTAGGCAGTCCCAGCTCAAAGTCAGATCCCTGGGGCTAACATCCTCACCTTCATCTTCAGTGCCAGGGGAGCCCTGCGTGTAGCCATGGTGGGACCAAAAGCATCTGCCCGCCAGTGAAGGGGGCGAAAATGCGGAGGGCAGCATTGAGCGGGAGGCCCGCCCCTCGGAGGCCCCCTGGGCTCTCCCTCCAGGCCCCAAGGGTGGAATGTGGGAGCGGAGATTGGGACAGCGAGGGACTGCCAGAGCCAGGCAGCCAGGCGCTTGGATTACAAACTTGGCCGAGCCTTCGGAACACGAGAGGAAGCCTTGAACATTCCTACAGGGGCCCCTCTGGCCCAGGGAGTGGCCGCTTGTGGTTTCTCAGTATGTGGCAGTGATTAGAATGGGATTTGTCTGAAAACATACAAGTCCCTTAATGAGCGTGTTGAAATGGACACTTTGGGGGTGAGTCAATGAACAGTGGGGTGGGGGCCTTCTCAAGCAGGCCCAGCCAGAGTTGCCTGGGCTTCATTCCCAGAGGAGACTGTGCTAGTTAACGTGCCAGCATCCAAGTGGCCTTCCTTCCCAGCCTCAGGAGGGGCCCCGGGAGCTCCATCTGCACCGTCCCCGTCCCCACAGGTGCCGGAGGAGCCGGAGCCGGAGTTCTCCCTGGTGTCGGTGTTGGAGGTGGTGGCATTCCTGGTGGGGCTGGTGGCATTCCTGGGATTGGAGGCATTGCAGGTAGTGTCTGTTCCAGCGGGGTTGGGGGTGGGGGTGTCCTGGAGAAGGCCACGGGGAGAGGCCTCACCCGCTGTGGTTTCTCTCCAGGGGTTGGGACTCCCGCTGCTGCTGCTGCGAAGGCGGCTGCAAAGGCAGCTAAATATGGTGAGTACCCTCAGGGGAGGAAGGCCTGGGGACTCTGGCCTGCCCTCAGGCCCTGGGAGCCTGCCCAGGCCACTAAGAGACCTCAGTTCTCTCAGGCTGAATGGACCTGGCCTTTATCCATCTGTGGAAACCTCCCTTCCACCTCCCCAAACATGCCTGTCTGGCCACTCTGCCTGGCCCTGCCTGTTGTTCTTCACTAGTTGGCCCAGCAACGGGGGACCCCTGTGGAGCATCTGGCTCCTCCCACCCTACTCCCAAGGCCAACCTACAGCTACTGCACCAACTGCCTGGGTGCTAGTGGGATGCTCTGAATTTGCTTTAGCCATAGACCATGTTCTTCCCACCCTTAGAACGCCAAAGGCAATGTCAGCCCACCTGGGATCCCGCACTCAGGACCTGCCATCCCCACAGCTCCCCAGAACCATGCCTTGGAAGCACTTTAAGATTCCCACAGGGTTTAGGCCAGAATAATTATTTTCTTCCACAGGAGCTGCTGGAGGCTTGGTACCTGGTGGCCCAGGAGTTGGAATCCCAGGTGTTGGTGGAATCCCAGGTGTTGGGGGAATCCCTGGTGTTGGGGGAATCCCAGGTGTTGGCGGAATCCCAGGTGTTGGCGGAATCCCAGGTGCTGGAATCCCGGGTGTTGGAGGAGTCCCAGGTATTGTGGATAGACCGAGTGAGCTGGGCTGTGTATGTGTGTATGTGTGTGTGTTGTAAAGAGAGAAATGTTGACACTATTGCCAAGACTTTTGGATTCTCCCTAACACTTCACCCATCTATCCTCTTCTCCCATATCCTTGACCATGACTCATCTTCTCTCCCTTAGGCTGTAACAACCTCCTAACTAGTTAGTGCCAGCATCATCTTCTCCAACTCACCTTCTCATTGCCACTGTGCTCCTGAGGAAAGGAACTATGTCTTTTTCATCTCTGTGTCCCCAGTCCTTAGCTGAATAGATAGATGCTCAGTAAACGGTGGATAGATGCGTGGGTAGATGGGTGGATGGATGGATGGGCAGATGGACAGCTGGGTATATGGATGAATGGTCATGTGGATAAGTAGAGGTTGATGGATAAGAGGATGAATGGACAGAAAAGGGATGAATGAATACATGAATGAATAGATATATGAGTAAAATGGTGGGTGAAATGATGAATGGAAGATGGAAAGACATATGGAAAAGTAGATGAGGGACTACATAAATGTTTAGACTGATAAATGGATGGATGAGCACATGGTTGGGTGAGCAGATGGGTGGTGGGAGGCAAATGCAAAATAGATGGTTAGACATGTAAATAGATGAATGGGTAGATGAGTGAATAAATGGATGGATAGATGGGTTCATGGATGAACAGAGAGATTAGTTGAGCAGTTGTATTGAAGTCTAATGATAGTGCAGCAAATGGACAGACACCTGGGCAGGTAAGTGTGGGGGGAAGGTGAATGAGTGGTTAAGTACACAGAGAGCTAGATGGAGATGTGACTGGGTAGACAGATAACTAAGCATCCATTGGGTTGGCTTGATAGATAGGAAGGAGGTAGACAGGACAGATGGGTGGACAGTAGGATATATATTGACCATCTTTCCTCCACTCTCCCCTGATTATTTGTGTCCCCTTGGTCTCTCCAGGGGCTGTGTCACCAGCTGCAGCTGCCAAAGCAGCCGCCAAAGCAGCCAAATATGGTGAGTGTGTTGATAGCTCTGCCCCACCCTGTTCTGGCCAGAGAAAGGGGATGACTTGCCCAGGGTTACACAGCAGGTCACTGGACTGAACTGGACCTGCTGGGCCCCAGGATGAGGCCCTGAGGCTGAGTGGTAGGAGAGTCCTGTTATGGCAGTGGGGCTAGTGTCCCTGCCCCTCCCCACTCACCCCAGACAACGCCCCTCTCAGAGGAGCCCAAGCCTCGCTGGGGCAATGGGACTGCCCGCTGTCTCTCCATAACCAGCAGCAAGGCCCTCTCCCAGTCAGAGAAGAGATGGGTTGCAGACATGCTGGGGGAGGGTTTCCATAAAGGTTTCCTGGAAAAGGCTGGAGGGGGGCCCAGGCATTCTATGGTTTCCTGTCCTTCAAGGACCAGACTTGAGGGGGGCTTGCTCCTACTTTCCTAGTCCACCAGCACCCCTCAGGGCCCTCACAGCCTGGCTCACTGATATCCTTTCCTATCCATTCTCTTCTCTCCGCAGGGGGCAGAGCCGGAGTGGGAGTTGGCGGCGTTCCCACTTTCGGGGTCGGTGCTGGGGGCTTTCCGGGCTACGGTGGTCTTGGAGCCGGAGTCGGTGGTCTTGGAGCTGGAGTCGGTGGTCTTGGAGCTGGAGTTGGAGGTGTCCCTGGAGCTGGCATTTCCCGTGAGCCTTAGTTCCATCTGGGGAAACAGGGAGAAGGCATGGGGGCTTCTCTTCTGCAGAGCTCGAGGGGTTGGGGGAATGTTGATTGGGCTGCATGTGCTCAGGAAGAAGTTGGGGAACGTGCAGGGAGGGCCTGCAGGGTAGGAGGGTGTCAGCACAGCCCCACTGAGATCCAGCAAGGTTTCTGAGGGTCTCTCTCTTTCTCATTCCGCAGCAGCTGCAGCCCAGGCAGCCGCTGCCAAGGCCGCTAAGTATGGTAAGTGCCCTGGCTTTGCCTGCCCCCATGCCCAGGGCATTGTCCTTCCCTCCTGGGCAGAGCCCTTCCCTCCTCTCAGAGCCTGGACCCCAGCCCTGCTTTGCCCTGGGGCCCAGGCTCTGAGCTCAGAGCAGTTCTCCAACATGAGGACCGAGCCAGCTTGTGCTCAGGCCTCCAGGGCCGAAATGGCCTGGGCCAAGACCCCCTTACCCCATCTTCCCAAGCCACACTGAACTTTCCTGCCCTTTCCAATCGCCCACCGTTAGGGTTACTGGTGCCCAGCTTTGTCACCCACCCCAAACCACCGCAGCCACTCTGTTCCCTACCCCACCTTCGCCCTCCATGCTTTGAGGGGCAGCACTGATGCTCTTTACCACTCCAGGTGCTGGAGGAGCAGGAGGCCTGGGAGGGCTGGTGCCAGGTGCCAGAGGCATTGTACCAGGTGTGCCGGGCGCTGGAGGGGTGCCAGGTGAGCAACCCAGAGATGGGTTTGGTTTGCCTTGTGGAAGGGGCCCTGACATTGACCCAGGCCAAGTGCACCATTTTATAGATGGCAAGACTGAGCCCAGAGATGGGGAGGAGGAAGAGCAATGCCCCCCTAGTTTGGAAAGAAGGTCTTGTATGGGGTTCCAGTCTGCTGAGCAAACCTGGCAATCCTCCCTCGGGGCTGTCAGCCGGCTGGGTGCTGGAGCTCTGGCCTGCCAGGGCTGGGTGGCCTCTCGTATGTTAGGGTCCTTTCTGTTCCTGACCAGGTAGAAAGGCCTGTCACTCTTTGGTTCCCTGCACTCTTCCTCCTCCACCAATCAGAGGCCAAAGGGAAGAAATTCAGAGTTACAATGAGATCAAGTTACAACCTTCCTTTGTTGTTTCTCCCCCCCCATCCCCCCCCCCCCCCCCCACACACACAGATTCCTATTTTCCTTCTTCTTTCTGGGAGAAAATGTCCCTTTTGAGTTTCTCTCCAAAATGAGACATTTCCTCCAATAGTTTTAAAAACTAACATGGCCTTTAGCAGAACGCTTCACAAATCCTTTAACAGAGGTTTGGGAACGATCTAGGCCTTGGCCAATTATAGCTTTAGGCTCCCACCACCATAATCCATGCTAGACTGTCACAGTCCCTGAGCTGCTTGCAGGGAAGCATCCTCACAGCAGGCCTGGAACCCCTCCTTCTCTGACTCCAGCGTAAGGAGGCAGCACAGAGCACAGAGCAGGTCTTCTGGAGGCATCCCTGGAGCTGGGGGGAAGGGGGAAGAAGAGTGAGGAGCGGTGCAGGGAGCCCCTTCCCAACGCCCTCTCTTTACCTCTCCAGGAGCTGGAACCCCAGCAGCTGCAGCCGCCAAAGCAGCCGCCAAAGCTGCTCAGTATGGTATGTGTCCCACCCCAAATCTGTCCCCTGTGCTCATCCTACTGCCCCGCTCTCCTGTCCTCTGCTCTGGGGTCTGGCAGCCCCCTCAGCGGTCACGTTCTCACTGAGGGCCTTTTGACCCACCTGACCACTTTCGGGTGTGGGCAAAGTCTCTGATTAGGAAAGCAAAGTGAAAACAGGCCTGCTGAGACCCCAGAACCAACCTCCGCACCCTTCCCAAAGCCCCAATGCCCCCACCTCTAGCTGGGGCCCGCCCCCCATTCTGGTCCTCAAGATGGGTTCCTCGGGGTTCCCACCACCCTCCGTGGCAGTATTTCTTGCTCCCTGACACGGTTCTCCATTTCTCAGTAGGCCTGAGGGCCACCCTGGCAGCCCCAAGCACCCACGCCTTCCTGAACATAGCCAGTGACAGTGAGAGCTTACATGTCTGCCAGGCCTGGGCCAGGGCATCTACGTGCCTTGGCTTTAGGGACCTGTGGGCAGCAAGATTCAGATCAGAAAATCTAGAGCTGTCTAGGCCAGAGAAATCTTAATTTTAGGTCCACTGACCCCTCCAAACTCACATATGACAAACAACCCCTTTGTAGATAAAGCCGCTATTTGCTGAAGCAATCCTTACAGCAACTTTATGAAGTTGGTCGCATCATTCCCATTTTAGAGATGCGAAAACTGAGGCTCTCAGAGCATATGTAACTTGCTCACAGTCACACAGCTAAATCGTGGCTGAGCTGAGCTTTGAGCCCACGTCTGCCTGTCTTGTAGAGCACCCTTGACTACATAACTCTGCTTCCACCCTCAGAAGTCTCAAACAGATCCTTGTCCCTCCAAAGGTTAAGAACTCCCGACCCTACACATGCCTCATATTAGGGATGAGCAAACTGATACGCATAGAGAGAAAATGACTTGTCCAAGGTCACACACAGCAATCCTGTGCCCAAGGCTCCTGGTGCCCAGCTTGCTGCTCTCTCCATTGGCTTCTGTCCTGCTTGGTGGAGACTGGGTTAAGGATTCATTCTTCCCATTCTTGTAGGGTTAGGACCTGGCGCTGGCGGGGTTCCCGGCCTTGGCATTGGCCCTGGCGCTGGCGGGGTTCCTGGCCTTGGCATTGGCCCCGGCGGTGTGACAGGTAAGTTGTGTGAGAAAGGAGGCCTGTGGAGCCTCTGAATCATCCATGGCCGACACCCTGACGCCCCCTTCCCCTCCGTCCAGGAGCAGGGACCCCAGGTGCAGGCAAATCTGCTGCTCAGTTGGCCGCCAAAGCCCAGCTCCGTGAGTGCCCTGCCTGGCTTTCCCTCCTCACCCCACCAAGTGCAGGCCGGCCCAGCATGACCCGGGCGGGAGCTGGACCCCACAATAGGCAGGCTCTCCGGCCCATTGCAGGCTGGGAAGTCCCCAGAGCAGCAGGCAAGGGTTGGGAAAGCAGATTTAGCAAAGGAGAGGCCCAGGTTCCAATCCTGGGCCCCACACTAGCCGAGTGGCCTCCGAGTTTCCTGTCCTCGTGTGGGACGTGTGGATGCTGACCCCACCTGCTGCAGAAGGTTGTTGAGAGACTTACATGAGCTCATCCACGAGGGAGGAGTGGAGGTTGGGCAGGAAAGGAAAGCGGTGCAGTGAGTGTGCAGCCCTGAGTGCTTACTGGAGGAGGGGCTGGACGTGGTGGTCGGCGGTAGTTCTAGGAAGCCCATGCTGGTGGGAGCATAGAGGGTGGGTTAAGAGATGAAGGGGTCTGACCCCTTCTCTTGGGGCCCGTCTCGGCTCCCTGGGTAGGACACCCCACAGGGGCCTGCTTCCTGCCTGCTGTCGCTATCCCACTGTCCATCTTTCCCAGGGGCTGCCGCTGGCCTTCCTGCTGGCGTCCCAGGATTTGGAGCTGGTGCTGGCGTCCCTGGATTTGGAGCTGGTGCTGGCGTTCCCGGATTTGGAGCTGGGGCTGGTGTCCCTGGCTTTGGGGCTGGTGCTGGTGTTCCTGGCTTTGGGGCAGGTGCAGGTGCAGGTGAGAGACCTTCTAGCCTGGGCAGAAATGACCCCTGAGCTCAGAGAAGGGAGACCTCTCCCTCCCAGCACATCCCCGGCACCTCGTCTAAGGGCTCAGAGTGATTCCCCATTAGGTTCTCCTGAGAGTCATGTGACTAGGGTGACAGATGGCTCAGGCCAGGCAAGGAAGCCCCAGGCTGCATGGGTGGCCCTCAGCCGTATGCTGTGGCCACTAGGCGCCAGTTTTTCACCTGGTGGTTGCTAAGCCTGAAGGGGCTCGGAGGGGCAGACGAAAGGAGGAGGCAGCCCAGCCCTCCAGTGCTCCCAGACCAGATTGGCAGAGACATGGTTAGTGACTGGAGTTCTACCAGGCCCGGTGAGCTCCTGGCTGCGGAGCCACAGCTCCAGGGCTTTGAGAGGAGCAAAGAAGGCCAAGGAAGGCAGGGAGGGCTCCCAGGAGGAAGCAGTACCCTCACCCAGCACAGAGCTCAGATGCTGATAATTCCACATTTCCTTTTTCTTTTTTCTGCAGGACCTGGATCTTTGGCTGCTGCTAAAGCAGCCAAATATGGTGAGTGCCCCCACCCTGACCAGCACGGCTGGTTCCACTGCTGCCCCACCGTCCCTGATATTCTGGTCACCCATCCCCCCTCCTCTGGCCGGGCCCCCTGCCCGGCGCCTGCAGCACTGGGCTGGGATGGTCAGGGTGGAAAAAGGCAGTTTCTAGGACACATTCATGACAGCTCAGCAGACCTGGCCCCTGCCCACAAAATGCCTATCGAGCCTCCAGCCACGGGACACCCAAAGAGGCCTCACATTTCCAGCCTCTCTGGGAGCAAGCCCACCTTGGTGAAAACCATGGCCCCGGGGTCTCCCTCCGGCCCTCAGTTTTGTGGGTCCAAGGCAGGGCTGCTGTCAGCTAGGTAGCTTCTGCCTCCTGGACAGCAGAGTCCCCCCCCCCCCCACCTCCTAGTCAGCATGACTGCGCCTGCCACGAGCCACGAGGACGTGGCAGACAAGCCTGCCCCTCCACTTGGCACTCAGCAGCCCTGGCTGGCCAGACCCACCCTGTCTGTGGCCCCTGAATTCTTGGCCTTCTGAGAGCCAGGCCAGGGCCTCTGCCAGGGAAACACCACCCAGCCCGGCCAGTCCACTTGGGGCCAGTTTCCACCTCGGAAAATCCCGGTTTCCTCAGTCCCACCCCTGGCGGGCCTGGTGACCCACAAGCCTTCTCCTGTTCCTTGCTGGCTGCTCTGCCTGCCTGGCTCTTGCACATGGTTTTCAACAAAGCAGCTGAAGGGACAGGCTCCAAAGCCACTTCCTGCCTGTGGGGCCTTGAGCATATTGCTTAACCTCTGCTGTGTCTCCATTTTCTCATCTGCAAAATGGGGGTGATAACAGCACCTACCTTTCCTGTTGCAATGAATAATAAGCAGGGGGATCTGTGAGAAGCACTGAGAATGGTGGAACTCCTGCTGCTGCTATTCGTAGCAGCTCTGCCCTGGACAGCAGTTCAAAACTCAGAGTACATTCCCCGATCATGTGCTCTTTCGCTCTCCAAACACTGTAGGGTGAGTGGAGTAAGGATCATCATCTCCTTTAGGGAGAGGTGACAGCTCTAATGAGTGGAGGAAGCAGGATTGGAACCCAGGACTGTCAGTACCTGAGACTACTCTTCCCTGCTCGGCAGCGTGTGGCCACCTGTAACTCCAGTGCGAGCCCAAAGGGATGGAGAAAAGATTGGCAGACCCAGGCTCAAGGAAGCTCGCTCTTTTCTTTTGTTTTAGTAGAATTTTATTGATTTAAGAGAAGAAGGTAGAGGGAGAGAGAGATAAAAACATCAATGAGGAACATCATCAATTAGCTGCCTCCTGCACGCCCCCTACTGGGGACCGAGCCCACAACTTGGACATGTGCCCCAACCAGGAATCGAACCGTGACCTCCCAGGTCACTGGTCGACACTAAACCACTCAATCTACACTGGACGGGCAAGGAAGCTCACTCTTGACTGATTGGTCAGGGACCCAGGCCAGGTGTCTGGGAATGGACTTCCATCCAGTGCTCCTTCCAATGGGTCACATGGCCTCGGCCACCTGTCTGCTTGCCTAAAGCCCCTGGGTCAGGGAGACCCTGTGCTTCAGAAATGGGGAATTGACTCTCTGCCCCTCTCTTCAGGCGCAGGCGGGCCTGGAGGCCTTGGAGGGGTTGGAGGTCTTGGTGGAGCTGGTGTCCCAGGAGGTCTTGGTGGAGCTGGTGTCCCAGGTGGTGTGGGAGGTGAGTTGAAACCCAGGACAGGCTGGGCAGGGAGGGGGACTGACCCGTGGAGAATGGCTCCCTGAGCTCCCTCTGTGTCCTCAGGAGTCGGACCTGCGGGCGCAGCTGCTGCTGCCAAGGCTGCTGCCAAAGCTGGCCAATACGGTGAGCACTGTGTAGAGGTGGGGGCTGCCAATAGCCCTCAGGGTTTGGGGGGCCTCAGACCATGCACCTTGGAGCACTATTCCCTGACCTGCCCCTGGGGCCCAGCCCGTCTCCTGGCCCCACAGCATCCACAAAGGCTCTGGAAGCTCAGGCTCCACCTGGGTACTGGGATGAAAGCTTCAGCTCTTCACAGACGAGCAGCAAGGGTCTCGCCAGTGGGGTTTTAACACCCAGCTCTCTCCGCAGGCCTCGGGGGAGCCGGTGGACTCGGAGCTGGAGGGCTCGGAGCTGGAGGGCTTGGAATTGGAGGCCTGGGACTTGGAGGGCTTGGGGCTGGTGGAGTTCCAGGGGCTGGGGGCTTTGGAGGTAAGAGGCTGCTCTAGATTCTGTTAGTTTAGTGTGTGTGTGTGTGTGTGTGTGTGAGAGAGAGAGAGAGAGAGAGAGAGAGAGAGAGAGAGAGAGAGAGAGAGAGATTCCTTTCCATTTGCCACATCTTGCTCAAGTTGTCATCTCTGTGCCCACCCCAACCCACTTCATCTGCCTCTCTAGGGCTGCTTCTTGCAGCTGGGATCCGACCCTCTCCCTCTTCTCTCCTTCAACCCACATGACCACATCAAATGGGAGTTCGTTAGGATAGTGATGGTTATGCCATTTTCTGGGGAAGAAAACCAAAGCTCGAATAGAATTACTTTTCCAAAGTCTCTGTCATCCTGGCTGGCCATGTGTTGACATGTCACTCTTTCTTGGGTCATCATTGTATCTTTCTACCTAAACTCACCCGAAATCTCTGCCTGTGTGTGCCCCAAGACTGAACACACAGTAGGCCCTTCATAAAGACTTTGGGAAAGATGGATCAAGGAAGGGTGGAGGGATGGTGGAAGGATGAGTCGGTGGGCAGATGGTAAACAGTGAACAGGTCAGAAGGGGACATGACTGGGAGGGAAGGGATATTTCTGAGCTGTCATGTTCCCCATCTCCCCAGGTGTGTCCCCAGCTGCAGCTGCTAAAGCAGCCAAATATGGTGAGTGGCTCCCTGCTGCCCTCCTCCTGCCCAATACTCCCCCTCCTGACCATCCCATCTCTCCCACCTCCGGCCTCAATCCTGCTCATTCCTAACAGCCTGTCCGGGATCTCCCTGACCCCAGACCCCAGGGGAGGCTCATGACCCCTCAGACTGTACCTTGTCGCAAACCCCATCTGCCCTCTTCTCAGGTGCCGGTGGCCTTGGAGGTGTCCTAGGAGCTGCCAGGCCTTTCCCAGGTGGAGGTAAGGCCATCTCTGCTGTGAAATCCTCAGCCCTGCCAGGCTAGCAGGGGAAAGCCTGGGGCTGCAGCTGCACAGGGACACGAGGGAGAGGGGACAGTCCAGGAAAGGAAACGCTCTGGGCAGAGGGGCAGGCCTCGGTGTCAGGGCCACCGTGGGCCTTGGGCACCAGGCTGGCAAGCTGAGGCGATGGGGCCCCACACCAGGATGCCAGGCAGGGACAAGGTGTGTGAAGAAAGCCACTCTGGCCATGGAGAAGGGGGGGGGGGGCAGTGGGCAGAGAGAAAGAGGGGACGAGGCCAGAGTGGGTCCTGCCCCATGCCAACTACAAGTCCCTCCTGCAGGAGTTGGAAGACCTGGCTTCGGATTGTCTCCTATTTTCCCAGGTATGCCCCGGCTTCCTGCCCTGTGCCCCATGCTGCAGTTCGGGCCCCAATCTTACCCCTCCCCCCTTCATCTCCTGCTCAGGAGGGCTCGGTCAAGCCCCAGGATGGGTCCCCTATCCTCAGGTTACACCCCGCCAGGCTCCCCTTTCCTCTTCTCTTCCTCCCTTGCAAGGCCGGGGAGCATCAGCTTTTCTAAAACACCACGCTCCCGATGGGGTAAACTGAGGCTCCTAGAGTGCCAGGGACTTACCCAAGGTCACACAGTGAGTGAGGGAGAGCCAGGGCTCCCGAGCCCAGAACCTGGCCCCTCTCAAGCAAGGCCCCCGCTGCCAGGAGGCCTTGGCCACTCCCGGAAGTGGCACACTCACCGCCCCCCGCCCACCCTGTGTTGCAGGTGGCGGAGCCGGAGGAGCCGGGGTCGGAGCTGGGGGCCTGGGAGTTGGTGGTGAGTCTGCAAGAAGGAGGGACTCCACTTCAAGCAATGCTCTGAGCTCCTTTCCTGGGGTGGGGGTGGGGTGGGAGAGTCCTGTTGAAGGAGTGGCTGGTAGGACAGCAACTCTTGGCTGGGCCTCTGGCGTGGGGGCTTGAGGAGAATCACAGACGCTGACGGTGCAGCCCTGGGGTGTGGGGATAGGAGGCGAGGAGTGTGATTCCTAGAGCTCCCAGCCTGGTCCGTAACTAGGTACCGGGACGGAGACAGCAGCCTGGGTCACCCTGGAGCTCGGGGTCTAAGAGGTGAAGCTGACCAGCTCCCATAGGAAAAGAGAGAAACTGTAAGGGAAGAGCAAGGTCCATCAAGCAGGTAGCCAGGGAGTCAAAGCCCCTCTGATACCAGCATGTTAGCTGGCCAGGCTGGGGTCTGGCTATGGTGAAAGAACGCCAAGCTGCTCAGACTTCCACATGCAGGCTGTGATCTGGAAGGCCTTCCGAACCTGCTGTGATAGGATCGAGGCCCCATGTGGCAGGGGCTCTGAAAGAGGCGGGAAGGCCTGGTCCCCTCCCCAATTCCCACCTTCCCTTCCACAGGCAAACCCCCCAAGCCCTACGGAGGTGCCCTGGGAGCTCTAGGATACCCAGGTGAGTCGAGCCCCCACCCCCGGAAGAGAGCTTGGAGGGAGGGGCAGAGATGGAGGCAGAGGCGGGCCCATCCGTCTGGGAGAGGGGGAGCACCTTTGGACAAAGCCTGGCAGCAGCGGGGAGGCTGGAGGAGCTGCACATTTCACTCATCCCTTCTTCTGCCTCCAGCACAGATGTCAGAGCTGGGAGGAGGCCCAGGACCCTCCATACTCACCCAGCCTGGCCTGGCCTAGCAGTCCCTGCCTCCCTGCTGCCCACACGCTCCCACCATCACCACCACCGCCCCCCCCCCCCCACACTTCAGAAAGGAGCCAAGAGAAAGAGAAGGGGCAGGGGAGGGGGAAGAACTCAGGGAGCAGACACAGAGGGAGAAATGGGTTAGGGAAACCTGAAGGGTGGGCAGGGAGACCCAAGGTGCCCAGGCTGGGCAGAGTGGGCAAGGGCCACTGCCTGGCACTGAGCCACACTCTTGCACAAAATGCATACATGCTTCTGGAAGTGTGTGGGGAGGGGTCCCGATCACCACCACCTCCCGAGCTCCTCCCAGCAGTGCCCAAGGGAGACCCCAAGGAGCCGCAGCTCCACCCCTACGGTTGCTCAGACTGGATTCCCCTTCATCCCCACCTGCTTCCTGCCCCCCAGATGAGGCAGCTGAGGCAAGGCTGGGGCTGGGAGAGGCTGAGGCAAGACCACCCTGGCCTTCCCAGGGGGCCTAGGGATGTTGGTGGCCACACCCCATTCCTGGCCAAACACCTTGGATGACCTTCGCACAGATGCCTGTCCCTGCCCCTCTTGGCTTCTCACGGCCACCAGGTGGCGATCACAAGCCATGTCTGTGCCCACAGGGGCAGTAGGAACTACTCCAGGCCCTCCCACCAGAACATGGTGCCTGGTGATTAGAAACAAGGTTTACCAATCAGACCCTCCCAGGAGAGGATAGGCGTGCTGGGGTCCAGTCCCAAGTTAGCCTCAGTTTGCATGTCTGTGACACTATCTCCCTTATTGGGGGAGGGGGTGCTCTGAGTCCCTCACTAAGGCTCCCCAGATGTAGTGGATTCAGAGGATGGAGACCTCGCCCAGGCCAATCCTTCCCAGACCTGGACCCATGGCCTGGCCTCATCCCTTCCCTGAGTCTTGGTTTCATCACCACATCTTGAGCCCTGGTCCCACCCACCCGTCCAGTGGGAGTTTGTACGATGAGAGTTAGGCCTGGGGTGGAGCCCAGGCTTCTGGGGGCTTCTTGGAGCCGCTGTTCCCCACTGCGATAACGCCGGAGCTGGTCAGTGGGCAGTGGCTTGAGCAGCAATGGGGAGGGGCCGGACTAACCTGTGTGCGCCCCCTCCCACCCAGGTGGAGGCTGCCTGGGGAAATCCTGTGGCCGGAAGAGAAAGTGAGCGTCCCAGGACCCCTGACTCACGACCTCATCATCAACGTTGGTGCTACTGCTTGGTGGAGAATGTAAACCCTCTGTGACCCTCCCCTCCACGCCCCCTCCCAAGTCCCCACCTCTGGAGGGGACAGGGCTGGCCGGGCGGACCTGGAAATCCACAGGACAAGGAAACAAGAGGACTGTGGCCAAGTGGCCCTGGGGAGCCCCCGCTGCAGAGGCGAGGGTGGGTGGGCCATCCACGCTCCATCTCCGGGGGAACTTGGTGCTCAGTGTTGGTGCTTTCATCTTCCCCGGGGAGGGAGGAGGGAAGGGCAGCCCCTCTAGAAGTCCCCTCCCTGGGGCTCCTCTGAAAATGGTGCAGACACTTCCCGGGCAGTCCCATCTCCCCCTGCCCCCCGGGACCCACCCCTGGCTGCGGTCCAGTTGGTACCCAAGCATCACAAACCTCAAGCTGGATTCGGTCACACCATCTCTTGGCCCCGTTGGCCCCCTTTTCCTCCACCAATCACTATTCCCCCATATTCTGGGGCACCTCAGATCAGAAGAACGCCAATGGGAATAGCCCTCTTTCTCTTGTGGAATTCACCCGCCCATCTGTCCGTCCGTCCGTCCGTCCACCCATCCATCCATCCACCCTTGCCCTCAGTTGTCCGCCTGGCACCACTAGCTGGCTGGGCGCCCCAACCACCAACCAGGTTCATCTGTCATGGCAGCATGTGCCCTGCCTTGGCCCCACCACACACACCCCTACAAAGGGGCCCAGGGTGTGAGGGGCTGTGCCAGCGGGGGCGGCAGGAGTCTCCTCCCGAACCGGGGTCCCCCCACGCAGTACTGTATCCCCCGTCCCTCCCTCGAGCCACTGTACTTCACAGCATCTCCCATCCCCGCCCCGCCCATCTCTTTGTGTCTCGCTGTGATAGATCAATAAATATTTTATTTTTTGTCCTGGATATTTGGGGATTATTTTTGATTGTTGATGTTTTCTCTTGATTTTATTGTTGTGATTCATTGAAAACAAAAAAAATTTTTTTTTCTCTCTCTGATCTGGGGAGCTGTATCCCCAGAAGAAAATTCATTTTAATCACTTTGGTATAACTCTGGATGAAACACACGTTTTTTTAAAATAAGAAAAGAGGATTAACTGCTTCAAAAAAAAAAAAAGACTAATAAATGAAAATATTTTAAAGGAAATTGTGTGTTGGTCTCCTCTGTAATCCCCTCGTCTGCCGTTAGCTCCTGGCCCAGGAATGGCACAGGGCTCAACCTTGGGAAACTTCCGCTGTTTAAGGTGTATTTGGGGGCTGCTTACCAGAATCCCCTGCTGTTGGCTTCTGGATATGATCCTTCTCCAAGTTCGAATTGTCCTTTAGTAGTTAAAAGCCCCTTGTAGGGGAAATAGGACCAGCCAGTCCTCCCCTCAACACCCCCCCACACACACCTGCCCATGGTGCGTCTCCTCTGGAGACGGACTCACCTACCCAGCCATACTGTCCCCATAGAACTAAGATGAGCACAGGGACTGGTGGCGGCCTCTGGGCCCTGAGGGTGCAGCTGGAGGGCAGGAGTAAACAAAAGTGACCCTTCTATCCAGACCAAGCTCTTGGCCTTGGTGACAGCAGTACAGAAAGGAGAAAATGGCCTACCTACAAAAACTAGAACACGTATTTTCCTCTGAAACGTCCGCTCTCACACATGACCAAGTAAGGTTCCGCTTCACTTTCTTATAAACCATAACAACCCTGGCCAGTTTTTCTCAGTGGATAGAGCATCAACCTGCGGACTGAAGGGTCCCAAGTTCGATTCCCGTCAAGGACACAGGCCCAGGTTGAGGGCTCGATCCCCAGAGGGGAGCATGCAGGAGGCAGCCGATCAATGATTCTCTCCCATCATTGAAGTTTCTATCTCTCTCTCCCTCTCCCTTCCTCTCTGAAATCAATATATATATATATATATATATATATATATATATATATATATATATATATTTTTTTTTTTTTTTTAAACTAAAACTTTCACTTAAAAATAAAATATAACAAATGTCACCTGCAGGTGGCACTGGGAGACTCAGTATCACACTTAGATGCACCCATCCGCAGAGACATCCCCCTCCCTTTGGGGTCAGAAATCCATGAGGCCTGGGGCTATGCCTACAGCTCCCTTCTAGACTACACTCTGGATACCGGGTTCCAGAATTCCTTCCCCAAACCACCAAGTCCACTTCCAGGGACCACATGGCCTCATGCCTGCATCTGACCTCCTGGGACAGACCCCACAGCCAGTGACACAGCCCTACGTCAGAAGGGGGGCTAGGGAGCTATTTGTTGGGAGTCTGAATGGAGTAGGCAGACTGGACCATCTTGCATTTGTCCGAAAGGACCACTGCAGTGCCAGAAGGAGTTTGGATGAAAAGAGAAAGAGGATGGGAGGATGCTCAGAGATAGCTTCCTAGAGGTTAAGAGAGTGCAAAAAACAATGTATCAGACAAAGAATGAATCAGGGAGGAGGGCCGTGCCTTTAGAGCAGGGAGAGCGGCCCCTGTAAAGGCCTAGAGGGCAGGGCAGTGAGAGTGCCCTAGAGAGACAGGGCAGAGCTAAGAGGAGATGGAAGGTGAATCTGAAGTTGGTAGGGGGTGGGTTCATGAAGACCCACGGGGGGCTGCTGTGGCAATCAGTGAGGAGTGACAGCCTCCCCAAGAATAGTGCCAAAGGAGATTCATTATTTCATTCATTCACTCATTCATTTATTCCTTCAACAAAAATATCCCTATGGTCCCTCTTCAGTTCTCTGGCCTCTGAAAGTTGGCTAACCCCAGCAGGGGGCAGCATAGCTGCTTTGGTTTCTTGGTTCATGGCTTTAAACACAATCCATGAACTGTCAAATCCCCAAGTGATAACCTCCAGCATAGACCTCTCCCATAAGCTGCAGTCTTGCACACCCAAGGCCAGTTCTTACATCTCCACCTGGAAGTCTCAAAGGCATCAATGCATAGCATGGTTCCCCACCCCTCACCCCCACCCCACCGTCCCCAGCTTAGTAAATAGCAACTCCAGTGGATTAGGCTTTCAGCATGGAGCCATCTCTGGGTCCTCTCCTCCCACTCCCCATAGCAGATTCGCCAGCAGATTCTGTGATGAAACTACCTTCAGAAGATATCCAGAGTCCAGCCACTTCTCACAACCTCCAGGGGCCAGGCCCTGGTCCGCCAGCAGCTAGTGCTTGGATTACTACACAGCTTCCTATGGTTCCCCGATTCTGCCCTGGCTTCTCCAAGCAGCCTTCTCTTCACACAGCAGCCAAAACAATTCTCTTACAACGTAAGTCAGTTCAGGTCATGCGTCTGCTCAAAATCCTACAGTGGCTCTCATCTCACTCAGGCACAAAGCCAGCAGCCTTTCAAAGGCTTAGAAGCCCCTACCTGAGTTGCACCAGCTGTTCTGACCTCACATCCTGCTACTCAGCCCTCCACCAGGCCATGCGGTACTCGGGCCCTCCTGTTCTTTCTGTGGGCAGCCGGCCCCCATTACAGGCCTCCGCGCCTGCTGTCTCTCCTGCCCAGAAGACACTGTCCTCAGCTCTCAATGTGCTTGGCTCCCTCATCTCCTTCAGGCCTTGACTCGAATGTCACCTTCTCAGAAAGTCCTTCCCTTTCCCCTAAAACTCTCCCCTGTGCAGCACTCTCACCCTGCCCCTGCCTTCTTTTTCTCCAGATTTTCCTTCTCTCTTTTTTTTTTTTATTAACTCTCCATAGCAGAATGTAAACTCCTTAAGAATAGACACTGTTTTAAGAACACAATCTATAAACTCCCTGCTTTCCCTAGTTGTATACTGTGGTAGACAAGATGGCAAGCAAGTGTACTGATAATGGCCCCAAAGGTATCCAGGTCCTAATCCTTGGAGCCTTACAATATTACTGTTAGACTGGTTGGGCTGCCATAACAAAGTACCAAAGACCGGGGTTGGGGGTGGGGGTGGGCTTTAACAACAGAAATTTATTTCCTCACAGTTCTGGAGGCTGGAAGTCCAAGATCAAGGTGTTCTCAGGGTTGGTTCCTTCTCAGGCCTCGCTCCTTCACTTGCAGATGGCCATCTTCTCCCTCTATCCTCACATGATCTTCCTTCCCTTTGTGCATTTCTGTGAACTAATTTCCTCTTCCTATAAGGACACTGGTTTTATTGGCCTAGGTTTTACCCTAGTCACCTCATTTTAACCCAGTTGCCTCTTTAAAGACTTTGTCAACAAACATAGTCACATTCTGAGGTACTGGAGTTAGAACTTCAATGTATGTATGTGAGTGGGACATAATTCAGCCCAAATGTGATTAAGAGTATTGAGCTGGGAAGATTATCCTATATCATCAGAGTGGGCCCCAAGTGCAATCATATGTATTATTATAAGAAACTGAAAGAATAGCATGGCAATAACTTGGATAACCTACAAGAAATTGGTAAATTCCAAAAAACATAGAACCTACCACCTGACCAGCTTGGCTCAGAGGTTGAGCATCAACCTATGAATCAGGAGATCACAGTTTGATTCCCAGTCAGGCCACATGCCTGGGTTTTGAAATCAGTCCCCAGTGGAAGGCATGCAAGAGGCAGCCAGTCAATGGTTCTCTCTCATCATTGATGTTTCTATCTCTCTCTCCCTCTTCCTTCCTCTCTGAAATCAATAAAAATACATTATTTAAAAAAACAACAACATACAACCAACCAAGACTGAAGAAATAGAAAATTTGAACAGACCAATAACAAGTAAGGAGATTAAATCAGTAATCAAACACTTCCCAATTAAAAAAAAAAAGTCATGATTAGATTTCTTCACTAAAGAATCTTACCAAACATTTAAAGACAAATTTAGACCAATCCTCTCCAAACTCTTACAATTAAAAAGGAGAAAACACTTCCAAATTCATTTTAAGAGGCCAGCATTACCCTGATACCAAAGCCAGACAAAGACACCACAAGAAGAAAAACCTACAGAGAAGTAACATAAGCAAAATGGCTGAACAGGAGGTCTTCAGCCCTCATTCCCTTACAGAAACAATTCTAAAATTCATATGGAAGTACCAAAGACCCCAAACAGCTAAAGCATGAAGAACAAAGCTAGAGACATCACACTTCCTGCTATCACAAAGCTGTAGAATAAAAAACAGACATATAGACCAAAGGAACAGAACAGAGTACAGGCCCTAGCTTGTTTGTTCAGTGGATGGAGCGTCAGCCTGTGGAATGAAAGGTTCTGGGTTCATTTCCAGTCAAGGGCACATGTCTGGGTTGCGGACTTGATCCCCAGTAGGGAGCGTGCAGGAGGCAACTAATCAATGATTCTCTCTCATCATTGATGTTTCTGTCGCTCCCTCTCCCTTCTTCTATGAAATCAATAAAAATATATTTTAAAATACATAAAATAAAATTTATTCTAGAAAAAGAATGGAAAGTACAGAAATAAACCCATGTATTTACAATCAACTGATCTTCAATGAGAGTGTCAATACACCCAATGGGTAAAGATAGTCTCTGCATACTAGTAACTGATGTTGAAAAAGTTGGATACTGGATATTCAGATACAGAAGAATGAAAATGGACCTTTATCTTACACCATATGTAACAGTCAAGTCTATGTATTAAAGCTGAGGCCGGTTTGGCTCAGTGGATAGAGCGTAGGTCTGCGGACTGAGGGGTCCCGGGTTCGGTTCCGGTCAGGGGCATGTACCTTGTTGCAGGCGCATCCCCAGTGGGGGGGGGTGCAGGAGGCAGATGATCAATGTCTCTCTCTCATCGATGTTTCTATCTCTCTATCCCTCTACCTTCCTCTCTATAAAAAATCAATAAACTATTAAAAAAAGATTTAAAAAATAAACGGATTAAAGACAAACAGAAGATCTGAAAATATAAAATACTAGAAGAAAATATAAGGGAAAACTTCTTGGCATTGGTCAGAGCAATGTTTGTTTGTTTTTAATATGACTCCAGAAGCACAGATGAAAGAAAAATAGACAAATAGAATT